CAAATCCCTCCCACCCCTCCCCCCCACATCCCAGAGCTGATTACATGGTCACAAATAAACAATCATAATCTAATTAACATTACCCGACTCTACTAACAATCAAATCCATAACATACTTTAACTCCTTTTTTCAAAACAAATATTAACAAATTAAAAATAAAAATACTACAGTTAAACCATAACACTAAAAATAGTATAAATTCAATCATATTAAACTGTTAACAATAACCTAAAATCTACTCGTAAGCAAGATAGTACTTTTCAGTCTCATATTTCTTTTAAATATAATCAATCCATCTTCTCCAGACCGAAATGTATTTTTCTTGTGAATGGTCCTTCAAATGTTCGCCATTTCTGCTAAGTTAGACACCTTAAGTATCCATTCTTCCATAGTAGGCAAAGAGTTTTTCTTCCAATTTTGCCCCACCAATAATATTGCAGCTGTTATAAGATTCAACATCAAATTAATTCCTTTAACATCAAAATCAACCGTAATGCCCAACAAAAATAATTTGGTTAAAACTATTTTTTTTTCTTGAGGAAGAAAAAAAAGACATTTCATTTCTCATCCAAGAAGTCACAACTGATGAAACTTCTTGGATGAGAAATGAAATGTCTCTTCTTCCTCAAGGAAAAAAAACAAAACAGTACAGTTGCCTTTTGAAAAAGCATCTTTGAGACAATAATGACCTGAATGACTAAGAATCTTCACGGATATTTTCCATATGTGTGTCATGCCTTTTGATAATCACTATTTTCTACTGAATTTCCCTTTTTATTTATGCACATCCAAGGGCCCTCACATCTATTGATTCCAATAAGCTGGCACCTGTCATTTATACTGTTCTAACACTACTTCTCAATCCTATCAATTGTTGCCTAAGAAATCAGGAATTCAAAGATACCCTCATCAAAACTATTCCTGGGACTTCTAGGATCTTAATCAAAGGGGTTACTACACATCCTGCTTGTCCTGACATAAAAACATCCCAAAACAATTTGCTGAAAATATGTACCACAATATCATCTTCAAACCATTCATCAGTTGTAGTCTTCACAGGTATTTTTTTGTTTTGGGCTTTCTGGCTTCTATAAGCACCAGCAGTGCTATATCATTTCTCTTTAATGATTCATTTTGTTATAGACAATTTCTCTAATTTTATACTAAGCACTCAGTGAGTGGTCATATTTTGTGTGTGTGTGTGTGTGTACATATCTTTTTGTGCATATACATGTGCAAATGAAAGTGTAGACATGTTAAAATACACCTTCAAAATAAGAATTCCTTTATACCACACTACACTTTATTAGCTTCTATAGTTTTCTTCACAGCAATGCTAAAACAGAATAATGTTTGCAATAGACAACATCACCACCAGATGGATCTATAGCTGGCTGAAAAACCACACTCAATGAGTAGTCCTCAATGGCACTACACCCACATGGAGAGAAGTAAGCAATGGGGTACTACAAGGTTCTGTCTTAGGCCCAGGACTCTTTAACATCTTCATAAATGACTTAGACAAGGAAATTGAAGGGGAACTCATCAAATTTGCAGATAACACCAAACTGTCAAGAATACCCAACATCTCAAAAGACAAACTCAAGATCCAAAAAGATCTTGACAAACTTAAACAATGGGCCCTATCCAACAAAATGAGTTTCAATGTGGAGAAAAGCAAAATCTTACATTTAAGCAGGAAAAACCAAAAGCATGAATACAGATTGGGCGAGACCCAGCTTAAAAACAGTTAACTGTGAGAGGGACCTTGGAGTCCTAGTGGATGATCACTTGACTATGAACCAGCAGTGTGCAGCAGCAACCAAAAAAGCTAATACAATCCTGGGTTATATAAACAGAGGCATAGAATCAAGATCAAGCAAAGTACTAGTACTGCCTTACAAAGCCCTAGTAAGACCACTTAGAATACTGCAGTCAATTTTGGTTACCATATCACAAAAAAAATGTTGAGAGTTTAGAAAAAAATCAGAGAAGAGCAACTAAGATGATCAAAGGTCTGAAGGCTAAAACATACAAAGAATGGCTGTGGGACTTGAGTTTGGCTAGTCTAAAGAAAAGAAGAAATAGGGGAGACGTGATAGCAGTGTTTCAGTATCTGAGGGACTGCCATAAGGCAGAAGGGATCAGGATGTTCACCAGAGCACCAGAGGGAAGAACAAGAAACAATGGTTGGAAACTGATCAAGGAGAGAAGCAACCTGGATTTAAAGAGAAACTTCATGACAGTGAGGATAATCAACCAGTGGAATACAATCACCTGCCTTCTCCTGCTTAAGTGGGAGGGGGCTGGACTAGAAGACCTCCAAGGTCCCTTCCAGTTCTATTCTATTCTATTCTATTCTATTCTATTCTATTCTATTCTATTCTATTCTATTCTATTCTACCTTTGTCTAAACTTTAAGCTATTGCTGGTTCAAAGTTTTTTTTACCGCAAAAGAAATTACAAAATTATATTATCTTACCTGTAATCTTGTCAAAGAGTCTTCCATACAATATCATTTATTCATTAGTGAATGAGCTCTGTATTTTACAATATTGTACTTTTTAGAAACTATTTTATTAATATCTCTTAAAGTTTATAAATGCTAATACTAATGCTACCACCACTAATAATAATGTTGCAAATACCTTGGACAGTTGACAAAGACAAAGCATTACATGGCATATACATTTTTGGAAAATAGTAGGGAAAACAGATAGCAACAAGTCACAAGAAGACTGGCAATAACTAAGAGCAGAAAAATTGAAAAAAGAGACGAAGGGGCTAATTCTGGCTGTACAAGACCAAGTCTGAAAAAAAAAAAAAAAGCATACAAAACCAGAATTGAGAAGAAAGTGACACATAGCAAATGCCCTCTATGCAAAGAAGAAAATTAGAAAAAAAATGGAAAAAAAATCTGGAAAAGGTTATACACTGTATCACTAGACTTATTTTAAAAATTCTGAAGAATACAAATTAACTAATTCAGAAAGGGTAATCTCAGTAACAACAGACATCATCATCATCTATGCTGGTTTTAAATCAATATCTTCCACAATAAGGCAAAACAAAGAGAAAAAAAGACTTGAAAACCTCACCAGGAAAACACATCCAGAAGTCATTTTAATGGTGAGTAGAGGTGACAGATAGGGTGATCTTTTCTATTTCTACCCATCAATAACATTTGTTGCCACATTCTGACAATACAGTAATAGTATAAATAAGCTTTTAAATATTCAAGAAGAGCAAGTTCATGGAATATATATAAAATGTAAAGGTCATGAGACATAAAACAGTGATATATATTGTTGAACTATGAATTCATCTAATTGTAGTTGAATAAAATTATAAGAATCATTTGTATCCAAAATATTTCCATTTAATAATTTTAAATTTTCTGCAAAACAGATTTCATGGGACACAATTTTTAAATCTGAACTACAATATGCCTAATTTAAATATTTCAAATTTAGATATTTAAGAATTTAAGAACCACGTATCTGCATCCAGTTTCATTATGCTAATATTCTTAAGCCAAACATTGTCCACCAAAATATATTTTTTAAGTTTCAAACGTTCTCTTGAATATTCTGTTGAACAGATGAATCTGTCACTTCTATTTTATTCCACCCTTTTAAACAAACAATTTTTCATTTATGCATTGCTCCTTCTATGAGGGAGATGGATGGTTAAGAGGTTTGATATATAAATAAATAAAATAAAGGTTCATATACCATTATAGAAAGTGAGTAGAATAATATAGAAAAAAATTGATATATGTATATTGTCATATGACAATTATTGATCAACTAATAAAAACTTTCTCAATCATAACAAGTCAAATCATATAGACAGCTATAAATAGAATTTTACAAAGTGATATTAGATTTGTGAAAGAAGTAATAACATCCAATCATATCAAGGTTAGTATCCTTTTATTTCTAACTATATTTGGTGTAGTATTTTAAAAATCCATTTTTTCTGTAATTTAGAACAAAAGAAACTTTAGAATTCTTTATTGGCCAAGTGTGGTTGGACACAAAAGGAATTTGTCTCTGGTGCATAAGTTCTCATTACATACAAGTAATAATTATTTAAAAGTAGTAATAATAATAATGATGACGATGATGATGATGATGATGATGATGATGATGAGATGATGATGATGATGATGATGATGATGATGATCTCAATATAAGGTCAAAATTGAGAAGACAGCAACAGACAGTAAGCAAAGAAGCTGAAGAAATAGTGGACCACCTGGTAAGCTGTTGCAAGAAGATTGCACAGACTGACTACAAGCAGCAGCATGACAAAGTAGCAACAATGGTGCATTGGAAGATCTGCAAAAAATATCATTTGCCTGTAAGCAAAAACTGGTGGGATCATAAAATAGAGAAAGTCATAGAAAATGATAAAATTAAACTGCTCTGGGACTTCAGAATTCAAACAGACAAGCACCTGCAACATAACACCCCAGACTTAACAATTGTCGATAAGAAAGACAAAAAAGTCTGGATAGTGGACGTGGCAGTGCCTGGAGACAGCAGAATAGACGAGAAAGAACTGGAGAAGATAACAAAATACAAAGACCTACAAATAGAAATAGAAAGACTGTGGCAAAAGCAAGCAAGGGTAGTACCAATAGTAATAGGCTCCTTGGGTGCAATCCCAAAACAACTGGAGCACCACTTGAACACCATTGGCATTGACAAATTCGCTATTAGTCAATTGCAAAAGGCGGCCTTACTAGGAACTGCTTCCATCCTGCGACGATATCTGTAATACCATCAAACATCCACATCTGCCTATCCCAGGTCCTGGGTAAGGACTCGATAGGTAGACAAAATGCCAAATCCAGTCTGAACATCTGGCTGACTGTGTGATAATCAATAATAATAATGATAATAATAATAATAATAATAATAACAACATACAAGTGATAATCATGATCATAAATAACATGAAATACATTCATCATAAATCATAAGATGGAACACTTAGTGATAGTCATAGAATACTAGCTAAGTAAAATTTAAATGTAAAAAAAAATGTTTTAAAAAGTATCTGGATCTGCCCTATGCACCTGCAACCACTTACCTTGCAGCCAGCCTCTCTTCGCTGGCCAACTTCTTCTGAGGTGTCTTCTGACACCAGGCTTGCATTTCTCAGTCACAGGTCTTTCCTGAAGGCCTGTGCAGCTGAGAACCAAGCTATGGATTTAATCCATAGCTCTGTTTTGCAAGACCTCTGAAGCTGAGGACTGGGCTATGGATTGAATCTATACCTTGGTACTTGGTTACATAGGCCTTCTGGAAAGACCTGACTGCAAAATGCAGGCAGGAATGCAACTGCAGAATGAAGCTGCTCCTTCAGCCCCAGAAGAAGTGGACCAGCTTGTGGGGGGGGGGGGACTGTTGGTGCTGGATGTGAGTAAGTCATCCCCTGAAAGTAAGACCTGCTGCCTCTTTTGGAGGAAAAAAATATTAAGACCCAATCTTATTTTGGGGAAAACATGGTATGTCAAAATGCCAACAAACATGAATGAAATCATCCATATTTTGTCATTTGTTTCCCTTGCCCACCTTTGAAGATATCTACATCTAGAGCAGCTTTGTCAGCCTCTCCAATTTTTTGTCCTATGATCACATAATCTCTTACCATTGGATAAGAGATGACCATTGGATAAAGGGATTAATAGCAGATGCATCCAGAGACACTCAGCTTGAGAAAATCTAGTCAGAAGCCTAGCAGTAACATCTGGGGTAATTTTTTCAAAGCTTCTTTCACTTCCTTGTTCCTCAAACTGTATATAAGGGGATTGAGCATAGGAGTGAGAATGGTATAGAATAGAGAGAACAGTTTGGTTGAACTTCTTATTAATGAGTCATCTGACAGGAGGTAAACAATCATTAATGATCCATAAAAAATGGTGACAACAATTAGATGAGAGGAACAAGTAGAAAATGCCTTTTTCCTCCCAAGTGTCGAAGGGTTCCTCAAAATGGCCAATATGATGAAAATGTAAGATGCAATGGTCAACATAAATAAAGGAAATGTAAATATAGAAGATAACAGAAAGGCTATTTCAATAAACAATGAATTATCACCACAAGCTAACTTACTCAGAGGGACAAAATCACAATAAAAATGGTCAATTTCATTGAAGCCACAATATGTTAACTGTGCCATCCATGTGACCACTATTGAGACAGAAAAACCGCCACCTACCCAAGACCCAGTTGCTAAAGAAATACAGATCTTTTTATTCATACATAAATGATAGTGTAGTGGTTGGCAAATGGCTAAATACCTATCATAAGACATTACAGAGAGAAGACATGTTTCTGTAGTCACCAGAAATCCAAATAAATACAACTGAGTAAAACAACCAGAAAATGTTATATTTCTATTCCCTGTTATGAAGCTGGACAGCATTCTGGGCAGGATGGTTGAGCTATAGCAAATCTCCAGACAGGATAAGTTTCCCAGGAAAAAATACATGGGGTTATGAAGATGTCTATCAGTCACTACCAAAATAACAAGGATAAGATTCCCAGTCATAGTCATAAAATAAATGACAAGAAACAGTAAGAAAAATAGAATCTGCAGTTCAGGCTGGTCTCCAAATCCGAACAAGATGAATCCTGTGATGATGGTTTTGTTTTCCTAATGGAAAGAGTTTATATATATAAAGTCATATCAAAATCAAAAATAGTAATGCATGCATGAGGAAAATTATTTACATAATTTTCATATAAATGTGCATTTATATAATACAGATATTATATAAACATTAGAGAGAGAAAGAGAGATTAATCAAACATTGTATTATTCAGAATTCAGATAGTTGGATAAAAAGTATCAACCTAGATGGATTTTCTTTTTGATTCCTTGCTACTGTAGATGTACAGAATGATACTACCCGTATCTAAATTGTACAGCAGTATAAAATATAGGAGTAGCTGCAAATATAATGCTAACATTACCTTACTTCAGGTATGGATATTTTTTGTAATAATGTGGTCATATCATTGAGTTAAGTTTCTGAATTCTTACCTCATTCATTGATAAGATAGTTAAGTATGTATCTGAGCAACAAAGTTACTTGGTTTCTTCAACAAGATGCAATTTATCTAACTTGTTCATAACTGATTGCTTTTATTTTATCCAAAGAGAACTTTAGACTCATGAGCCAATATTCTTAGGGGTATTCTTTTAAGATGTTATGGGGATTTCTTTGAACATTTATTTCTTCAATATTTCCATATCCTTACTATGGGAAATATTTGATAGCAGTTGAAGAATGAAATAAATATAACATGTTCTATTTGAGTTGATCTGTAATTTTCTTCAGAAATAAAGAAATGTCATTCTATTTCCACATAAACATTGGAACAGTACATCAAAGCAAATTACATTTTGGAAAGAATTTTAGAAACTTCTCTCTCTCTGCCTAAGTCCCTGGGTCTCTTTCTTCTTTAAATGTAAGATCTTATGTGCAATTACAGAAAAGCTATGAATTAATGATTTTTCTATTCATTTGAAACAAAGGACACAGATGGAAAGCAGGAACATACAGGGATTCATCCCAATGAATTGAATATCCTATACAAAAAGAGTGTAAAAGTGGGATCAATCTTGGTTTTGTGGGATAATGTTCCACAGGGACATCCACAGGCACTGTAAGGTTCTGCCACAGCTAGTCCTCCCAAGAAAGCAGAACTCTTGAAACAGGCATTGTTTCAAAAGGAACTTTTATTGAGAGTTAGTGATAGCAGAAGAGCAAAGCAAGATCTACCATTTTGCTGCGCAAAATGTTACATTAAAGCATTCCTTTTAAAATCCCACCCCATTGGCCAAATGTCCAGGTTGATTTCATCCAGTCCTCAGGTACGAAGATGTTATGGGAACAGAGGTCATAAGTGCAGATCCCAGGCACTATTCTTAGGGTTTTGTTTTCCCCTGGCCTCCTCCTATTGGAATGGAGATAAAACAGAGGGCCCAGGGCACATTCCTCTCCCATTCACACCATAAGGCATCAAAGGGGTGAGGAACAAAGCAGAGGAAACACTAACCAACCTCCCTCCTGCCAACATCATGGTCTAACAGCCTCATCCCTCCCAGCAAAATGGCAGAACCTGAAAGCAAAAAGAAAGAGAAAAGTTGAGGGTCTGATAGGCACCATGGAGAAGGCTACTTAATGTATCTCCTTAGAAGAAGGTCCCACATTATTTCTTGTCTCCCCATTCCACTAGGTCAGATAGATGTGTCTGGTATGGCAGTGGTGGTGCTATGAGCCAGGCAAGGTGATGGCATTAGTTCTGAACCTGATGCAGTGGCAGCATCAGCTCTGAGCCTTTTATAGTGTTGACAACTCCAAGCCTGGCATGGTGGAAGCATCAGCTCTTAGCCTAGTGTGGTGGCAGTGGCTGAGGGTACAAGTATGGCACGGTGGCAGTGATGACTGTGGGCCTGGTATGGTGACATCAATAGATGTGAAAATAGGAAAACCCCACTGCTGCCACTTTCCCAATGCCCAGCTCATTGCACTCTGCACTCTGGGCTATGCCCACCCACTCGCTCACTGGCCACCCACTGTGTGGAGTTGTTCTGTGACAAACTTACTTAGATATTTGTGTCCAAGAGCCAAAGAAAAGAAAAAATTAATGTACCATTTTTGCCTTTATGTAAGCAAAAAGGGCAGTTGATGTTAGCATAAACCAGGGATAAGAGGAAGCAAGATAATTCAAAAAGTAGGCCAAATGCTTAATTCATAAAAGCTAGAACTCAAAGTAAGTTTGCCAGTCTTGGGAAGGAAGAAGTAAACATAATAGGGAATGATAAAGATGGGAAGTAGGATCATCTATTTTTTTACTTTATCATTCCTATTTTGATAGCCAAATGCATGTGTATTTGCCAGTGTATCTATTAATTTGCTGAACTTGTTTTAGTTAATACAGATAGTCCTCAATTTACAACAGTTCATTTATTGCTGTTCTATATACCTAGGTGATTAATAATGCCTTATTATGCTCCTTTTTGTTGTATAATGTTTAAATAAAATGTATTAAACAGAAAACAGTTGCTTTTTTCTGCTAAACTATCTTCCCCATGTAGATGCCATGACTACTTCATCATGAAATACCATGGAAATGTATCCCTTATTGTATCAAAGGGTGACTTTTTATTCACAAGCTTCATATCCCCATAAATTGCAACATTCTCAGAGCTATTGATAAGACGTGTATTTTCCACATTCAAGTTGCTGTAATAATAAAAATCAGCATACTAGCATTCATAATTTTTGAAGTCTAAGTACCTTATATTACAAAGTGTACAATGCCTACAGAGGACTTTCATTCATAATTTGCAGTATAAACAAAAATGTATAACTAAAAATTTTATTAGTCTCATCCAACATGGTAAATGAGAGGCAAGTGTTCTAAAACTGTCAAGTCATTAAGATAATAAGTGAAGACCGGAGAGATTGAGGATCCAATCCATCCTGAAACATAAAAATATATATATATGGGTGGTTTTGTATTTTCACTATATCTCTATCAACATAAATAAACTTTCAGGGTTATTCTGCTATGAATAAATTGATCCATTATCTGCATGTGGGATAAAAGGCAATATACAAATATAAAGAATTAAATGAAATAGGTAGTTTATTTTATTTGGGGAGAGCAAATGTCCCATTAGTGATAATGAATTATAAAGGGTGAAATATATTTTCATCATTTACACCCAACAAAAAGTGACTTTTTACCCCAAATCTTTTTCACTGCTCTTTTAACTTCCTGATTTCTCAATGTATAAATAAGTGGGTTCAAAACAGGGGTAATTGCACTATACATAAGAGTCAATATCATGTCTCGTTGAGATGAGGTACCCACTGTAGGAATCATGTAATTAAGCAAAACAGGAACATAAAGTAAAGCCACCATAGACAGGTGAGATCCACAAGTGGAGAAAGCCTTTTGCCGCCCACTTTGGGACTGCATTTTGAAGAGGAGGAAAGTAATAATGTAGAGGTAGGAAAGGACTGTAATGAGAAAAGGGCCAATTGCAATGCAGCTGGTCACAATATTGAGAAGCATAAGGCTGAGTTGTGTGCTACCACAAGCCAGTTTTAACAATGGTTTTGTATCACAGACAAAATGTTCAATGTGATTTGATCCACAAAAGGGTAGATAAGCAGTCACTACTGCATGCATCAAAGCATGAAGAAAAACAGTGGACAGGGAAGCTGCTGCCATCAGGATGCAAACCTCTTTTCTGATGACGATGGTATAGTGCAAAGGCTTGCATATAGCAACATAGTGGTCATAGGCCATGACACCAAGAAGAATAGCTTCACTGCTGCCCAGGAAGTAGAAGAAGAACAGTTGGATCATGCAGTCATTGAATGAAATAGTCTGCAGCTCTGACAGAAAGCCAGAAAGCATTTGGGGTACTGTTGTTGAGGAGTGGAAAATATCAAGGCAGGAAAGATTTCCAAGGAAAAAATACATGGGGCTGTGAAGTTGATGTTCAATTAAAACTACAATAAAAATAGTTCCATTCCCAAGTAAAGTTGCCAAATACAACATCAAAAAGATTGCAAAGAGTAGTTTTTTAAGTTCCAAGACTTTGCCAAAGCCTAGTAAGATGAATTCACTAACTTCTGTTTGGTTTTCCATCACTAAAAAGGAAACAGAAGTTGATACAAGTAGACAGAAATAATTGTTGAGTGTTACAAACAATACATTTGGCAAGAAAAACATATAAAACTTAAGTAATAAGATACAAGCCTGTAACAAATAACAGATAAAAAGAAAAAAGGCATGGAAATGTTTATATACATTAATACATAATTTTATTGAAGTAAGAACATAACACATTTACAATAGCAAAAGGTAAGCAGAGACTATTCATGTTTCTTAATCAGAATAAACCTATTCAATGAAGCATGTAGTTATTGTATAATATTATTTGTCACCTCTGAGAAGGATGTTTTTCTGAATGTACCTATATATTTTAACCATGGAATATTTGATTATATACCCCAGAATTGAATAAAACTTCCTTTTTTTAAATTGACAACAGCTACTATAAATTACTGTTGCCATTGACCTTTCTTGGAAACTATTATTGGTGGTATTGAACAAATACATCTTCACTTAGTAATAAAGGAGAAACAAATTTGTACTTGAATGTCAAATCAATCCTATTTAGCCTCTTTATTTTATCCATGCACTTATTCATTCCTTTCCGGGCAACTGGTGATATATATCTCATCTGGTTACTTGTATGTTTGAAAGATTATTCTGGGTTAGTTTATTGCTATTAGGATGTAAGAACCACATTTATTTTATTATATGGACCAGTGGTATTCAGTGTATGGTCCTCAATGGAACTGCATATACATGGAGGGAAGTGTGTACTGGGGTGCCCCAGGGTTCTGTTCTAGATCCAGTGCTCTTCAACATCTTCATCAATGATTTCGATGAGGGGATAGATGGGGAACTCATCAAATTTGCAGATGACACCAAGCTGGCAGGAATAGCCAACACTCCAGAAGATAGGCCTAAGATAGAGAAGGATCTTGACAGACTTGAACACTGGACATTATCTAACAAAATGAAATTCAATGGTAAAAAAAAGTAAAAAAAAAATTAGGCAAGAAAAACCAAATGCACAGATGTAGTATAGGTGGCACCTTGCTCAATAGTAGTAACTGTGAGAGGGATCTCGGAGACCTAGTGGACAATCATTTAAATATATGAGCCAGCAGTGTGCTGCAGCTGCCAAAAAAGCCAACATAGTCCAAGGCTGCATTAACAGAGGGATAGAATCAAAATGACGTGAAATGTTAATATCACTTTATAACACCTTGGTAAGGTGGAATACTGCATCCAGTTTTGGTCACCATGATGTAAAAAAGATGTTGAAACTCTCAAAAGAGTACAGAGAAGAGGAGCAAAGATGATTAGGGGACTGGAGGTTAAAACATATAAGGAACGGTTGCTGGAATTGGGTATGTCTAGTTTAATGAAGAGAAGGACGAGGGGTGACATGATAGCAGTGTTCCAATATGTCAGGCGTTGCCACAAAGAAGAAGGAGTCAAGCTCTTCTCCAAAGCACCTGAAAGGTGGATGGAAACTAACCAAAGAGAGATTTCATTTATTATATTAAATGTTAAATTTGTAAGTCAGCATTTATAATTTCAGACAATTATCCCAACATTTACCACTGGTAGAAAGGTAGAGTGCATTTGGGTAATCAAAAATACCACACACTGGTCATGTACACACATTACATGATATATTTTGATATTTACTCTCCTGCCAAGAAATTATATATTTAACACGTGTGAAGTAATGTTGAGTTCATAAAACATGCTGAAGTAAACTAAAATGGAATTATGTAATTTGAGAATTGATCCAAGTTAGGTACCCTAGTAAAAAAAAACTATTATCTTGTGTAAACCTCAACAAATTTTCCTGTTCTTTCTTTTGGTCTTTGTATTATTAGTGATTGGATTCTTTCATAACACTATTTCTGTGAGGCTTTTTATTAAATAGGCAGAAACATATTTAAAACTGATATAGAAAACAGTAACCAGGAACTGTATTAATAATATCCACCTTATTCATTTCAGAATGAGGAAGTTAAAGAGTTCAGGGAACACTACATTTGTTCAAGTGAGGAGAGTTTGAAAATGAGAGAAATGTGGATAGTGGAACTGAAAACAGAAAAAGTGAGTCACTTGCTGAAAAACTTTTGAGGCTTCCTGACACAGCAAAGGAGAAAGAAGTTTGTAAATTATAATTTTTGTGCAGAGTTCTGGTCCTCAAAAGTGCTAATTGAGATGGCAAAATTAGGAGAAAGTCCTTAAATAAAAGCATTGCCAATTTTCTTTGCCTATTGTGTTCCTTGGCTTCCTGAAACTATGGAACTGGGGACTCAGGAGGAAAGATGAGAGCTATTGTCAGAGCAAGAGAGAAAGGTGGAGTTTTCCTTTTTATTTTATAAGACATTTCATTGAAAAGAATTTGCCCATTGCTCTGATAATAAAGAAAATGGACTAAGATGAATCCATAGGCTCTGGCAATGTTATATTTCTATAAAATTATATTGGATTCATCTCTCATTGTTTTTCCAAGACTCAGCAATCTGTGGCAGATATGAAGGCTTGGAGGAGATGTTTGAATGATCTTAACCTGGAAAAGTGATTGCTGGATCATTTTTAATATAGTTTTTATTTCCTGTTCCTTCTAGAAACAACATATACAAAAGATTATGAGAGGGACAAATGATGACACCCAAAGTTTTTTTTTTTTCAAAACTGGACTCCTTTTCCCACTAAACTTGCTTACCAAATACCTTTTAGTGCATGTAGCTGCTTTTTTGAGCCTTGTTTCTTGCAATTAGTAGTTCCACTCCATCCTATCTCTCTTGATTTTGCTATAGTATTATGTTTGAGCAAACATTGAGCCAAATTGAAATACAATATTGAAAGCAAATCACATAACACTTTAATTTTGTACCATAGATATTCACAGATTCTACTGCTTTTATTAAATGATGACAGCAGCATTACCCACCACACCACACGTTCAGGTTTTTTGTATGTGTGTGAAATGTCATCAACCAAGGAATATGTTTTATGTCAAGATGGCTCAGACTGATACCCATAACCTTCAGACACTGATAATATGAACCTAGAGAGAGTAAAGAAAATGGTTCAGCATCCAGAAAGTATAAATGGGAAGTCTAAAAATAGCTAGACAACACCATTATTGATTCTAAAGGAGATTTTATCAAATGCCTAAATGATAAACCTACGTAGACTACTGCGAACTTTCCAAGGAATAATGTATTACTACTATCTAATCATATTTAGATTATTTTGATTTAATTTTATTGCAGAAAATTGTTATTATCTCAGCAGCTTATATTTATAATCTTCAATTACTCCAAGAATTGCCATGATATTTTTGAACCAAGTGCTGCTTGCAGCACAGAGTGTTATTATGCATATGTTATTGATATTGTTAGATTCATTTAGTAATACAAAACCCTTCAGAAAGGGCATGAAATTTAGTATAAATAAAATTTGGGAACCACATTAAAAACAGATTGCAATTATATTGTATTACAATACTTCACAGATTGTCAAACAATGTCCCTCAATCTTGACAACAGCTGAAATGTTGGTAATGTATGTAGCTTCACAGAAAATCATGAAGCCCATGAAGAGTTGGGCATTAATAAATTTAAATAAATAAAAAATCCCTAGATGCAGAACTTGATAATATTAATCTATTTAAATCTATATAGGCAACAACAAACCTTGCAAGAATTGGGCAAAGGTATTATCTGACATATATAAAGACATATACATAGATATGTGAGTAGCCACCAACATGACATGTTTTTAAGGTTCTGTTTTGATATTTTTGTTTTTTGCTTTTAATTTGATGTTAGCCAAGAGTCACAACTGAAAGTCATGTGGTCATGTATGGAGAGAAAGGGAGAAAGAGAGAGAGGGAGAAAGAGGGAGGGGGGTCCTTATTGGTTGGTAAACAGGTACTTGGTCTTGTCTGCCTAGAATAAAGCATCCCAAAAACAGTCCAGCTAGATTTATTGGTAGTATTAGTTTGAATAAACAACAAGTACACTCCATAAATGCACAGAATGAGAGTTCCTTTCATTCTCTTGCCCTTCCTTCTCTATTTTACCTATTTTGTTGTACATTTAGATTGATCAGATGTTAACATACCTGTAAATATAAGATAAGATAATCTTTATTGTCATTTTTTACTGGGAGTACACTGGCCCACCTTAAAAATGAAATTCTATTGGCTGCTCTCAAAAGAAAGTATATATCTACCCATACACATACATAACACACATATACATTTGTATTGTACTATATTGTATTGTATTGTATTATATTAGTGTATATGTGTGTTATGTATGTGTATGGGTAGATATATACTTTCTTTGAGAGCAGGAAACAGAATTTCATTTTTAAGGTGGGCCAGTGTGCTCACAGTAAAAAATGACAATATATATAATTTACATTATTATTATATATACATATATATGATAGCAGTGTTCCAATACCTCAGGGGCTGCCACAAAGAAGAAGGAGTCAAGCTATTTTCCAAGGTGCCTGAAGACAGGACAAGAAGCAATGGGTGGAAACTAAGCAAGGAGAGAAGCAACCTAGAACTAAGGAGAAACTTCCTGACAGTTAGAACAATTAACCAGTGGAACAACCTGCCTCCAGAAGCGGTGAATGCTCCAACACTGGAAGTTTTTAAGAAGAGACTGGATAGCTATTTGTCCGAAATGGTATAGGATTTCCTGCCTGAGCAGTGGGTTGGAGTAGATGATCTCCAAGGTCCCTTCCAATTTTACTATTATTATTATACATACACACACACACACACACACACACACATTAATCACTGTCCATTTTGAATACATAGTAGAAACAAGATACTTGAGAGTTCACAAGTTCGATGCTATATTGTATTAAACTGTGCAGTATTCCTATAAACTACATATGTGATAGAAGGAAAAATATTTAAAATGGAAATCCTTGGAATAAAACACAAACATATATGTTTTTGCTAAATATTCAGACAAGTCATACCTCAATGAAACTTCTTGCTCAATTATGTAAGC